TCMCTGCCAAGAGCTGTGCAGAGAACGGGGACTGGGTGATTACAGAAGGATTGAGGGATTTCTCAGCAAGATGTACTTGTCTATGCCCTGAAACAAGAGCCTTGTGAGCTGCGGGACAAAGCGAACATGTGGCGTGTGTGCAAAAAGCACCAACAGTATATTCTTACTGATCATTTGTGTTAATGTCTTCTGCTTCTAGTCAGAAATTGGTACCTGAAGTGATTTCTGCCCCTTCCCAGGGAGGATGCAGTCCAAATGGGCAGTCTGGTGTCTACCTGCTTTGATTGTCTCCGCAAGGACTGCAGGGATTTGCTTCTTTTCAGATTCACGGAGCTGCAGCATCTTGTCATCGTTTGRCTCCTGGTTTGGGCTGCCTTTTGGCCAGTGATGGCTGAAAGTGGTTTTCACAGATGCCAAGAAGCTCATTTGCTTCTCCAGGGCCCGATTTCTGGCAGCAGCAGCATGAGTGGTGATGGGCAGGAGGCAATCTCACCCTCAGGTGCCCTGCTTGGTGTGCCAGGGGTGGGCAGAGCTGAAATGAAGGCCASCATACTCTGAATTTAATTACTGCAGGAGAAATGAACCTTCCAGCTCCTCTCYGACCACAGCAGTGAGACCCATAAAYGGCTGGTGAATTATATCTGAACTTCCATGTACTGCAAACTGCTTGTGGGGTTTGTGGCAGCTCAGATGTTGCTCCAGTGCGTGGCTGTAGGACCCAAGCCCCGGTGAGTTTCTCCTCACCAAAGATATTGGAGTGAGCTGGCCAGGCTAGGGGCAAGAACCTCCCTCATGTGTAAAAAGTTTATGGGGTTGGAGTGGTGGGTGTGGAATTACCTCCCTCATGTTAGGGTAGCAGTGCTTGGGGAAATCCTGCATAGCAGGGAGCACAGGAGACACTCCAGGATGGAAAATTCCTTGTCTGTATTGCTGGGTGTGGGGAGACAACTTTGGCTCTGGAAGGGACTCACTGACCTGATATTTCTAAAATGTCATTCGAGGAGCTGTCCAGGACTTGGCAGCCCAGCCCAGGACGTGCTGCTTCTCTCCTTAAAGGGAGTTTGTGCTGCTGTTGGCAGCAGTCGGAGCGGATTCTTCACCATGGCTGTGCTGCTGGGGGCAATGTCTGAAGGAAACACGCACAGCACAGGGCTGGGTGTGCTGCCAGCTCTGTCCCAGGCAGGAGGGAGTCTCTGGGGTAGGGGGAGTGTCACCTGAGCTGATGGGGGTGACATCCCCTCTGCAGGCAGCCTGTCCTGGCTCRTGGATCATTGCACTGCCTGGAAAACCTGCATCAAGCAAAGCCAAAAAGTCATTTTTCTACAGACTGTGGCAAGTTTGGGAACTGAGGCTGAGTTTGCTGAGGCCCAGGGCCTTTTAACTTGTCTGTCCTTTCCTGCTCTATGTCCCAATATATTGGCTTGGGAAGCAGTTTTTCTGATAGGGACATTTCTAGTTAGCCAAGAGGATGGACCGAACAGTAAACTARATTTACAATTTTTTATTTTTCGAACAATGCTTTGGAATACTTTATTGAGCAGAAAAACTAATTGCATCTGCTCATCTCCCACTCCCACGTAACAGAGAGATTTTCTCCAGGATCATATGCCTTTCAAAAGGGTTTTTTGTACCATGCTCTGCTCAGTGCCAGTCTGGGAAACATGTGCAGTCATTTGATAAATGTATTGTGAAAATCGTGGTTGAAGTGGCAGTCTGCCTGCAGCAGAGGAATTGCTACAGGGAAAAATGGTAAATAAGATATCTGTAAGTAAATTAATTTTGCTCATRTAAGCTTGTTTGCAGCTTTGGTTCGTGTCTGCAGCGTAATCCTCTGCTATAYAGCAGGTGTTGAGTGTCGTGGGGGATCAGCAGGGACAGCAAAGCTGTGCAGGAGCTGAGAGATAGGGGGGGTGGAATTTTTGTTTTGCTGGCATTTCCCATCACAGCAAGGTGTGGTTGTGCCACAGCCTGAAAAACTGCAAATCCACCATTGATTTAGCCTTGCAGAAATTAACAGTTGCCTTTCATGCTGAGTTAATGCACAGTGAGACTGGGCTGCACGTAACTGATCTGCTTTTTTTKAAATCTTTGCTTTCCAATACAGTTTTGGAGATTTATCACGGAACAGGAATCCCTCAAAGTAACAGAACTCCATCTCTACAGATGAACTATTATTTTCTTTAAAGTCTTGCTGGATTTTTTAAGCCTGCTTTTAGCAGTGCTGTTTTATTTGTTTCAACACTGCATGGGTCTGTTTGTTTTGATCAGATTAACTGATTTATGGGGTTTATCTTCAGTTTATCTATTTCAGTTGCCAATTAGCTGAAGATTTATTTTGCAGGCCATGCTCTGCGTTAGAACTGAGCCAGTTTGCTTCAGCTTTTCAGGGGTCAACACCCTGGGTGCCTGATCTGGGTGCTGAGGAGCTGCTCAGGTGGCTGACAYGAGCATCGCTGTTTGCTGGGCTGCYCTTCCCAGTCCTCCTGCYCTTKTTTTCCTCTTGAAAAGATTGAGCAGCATGCAACTCACAAATGTTCAATCCAGGTGGGTGGTTTGTGGGCTTTCACACCCAGCCACGCAGCAACACGGGCAGATTCTCCCTTCCCCTTGCTCCCACATASGAGGAAAACCTCATGGCAGGAGGAGGGAAGAAGGTGGAGGAGCTGCAGGCTTTGGTTGCAGGTTCATTTTCGTCTCGATTTTGCCTAGGAATGGGGTGAGCTGTGACTGTCCAGGAGCTAAAGCTGCTGCCAAGAAAGGCCTTGGGTTTGTTTCTCTGTTGGCAGAAGAAACAGCTTTTAGCACAGGGTGGTCTCGGAGGTCTCCTCCTCTCCCTCGTGTGAGCTGGCTTAAATGGTGGGAGCGTTTTTTGCTCCCTCCTTCCCTTGGTTTACWGTTATTTCCGTGATGTACCAGCCTSCCAGGAGAGCTGCAGCCCAGGTCTGGCAGAGGCTGTTGACAGCAGGGATGTGCCTGGTGCTTCCCTGGCCGTGYAGAGCAGCCCTGGGAAGCCCTGACCTGCAGGCAGAGCTGGAACCTGGCTGTGAGGAGATGMCCTTCCCCAAGCATGCAGGCATCCCATGAGTGTCACTGGGAAATGCGCTGCTCCACGGGCTCTGGAGCGCAGGGGAAGCCTCTGCAGAGACAGTGGGGTGGCTGCAGCCTTGCAGTTACCCTGATCTGATGCTCCTCATTTATCTGAGAAGCTTTCCAAACTTCACAAAAGCATTTTGCAGACAGCGAGTCCTCAGCAGACTTCTGCGAAATCGGTTTTGAAGGACCATTGCTGGCTTGTCAGCTCGCAGAAAATTCGGCAAACCTGGGTTTAGGGGCTGGGGAGTACAGGGAGGTCTGGCAGAGGGGAGGCTCTTGTGGCTCTGCCCCTGGGTTTGTGGGGCCACATGCAGTGTGTGCTGGACTGAATCCCAAAGTTCACCCCTTCCCTAGCTGCTGAGAGCCACCCCCAGTGCCTGCACCCTTGCTCCAGAGGGGATTTGTGCTTTGGGATTGAAGTGTTTAAATATAGTTTTAATAGAAGCTTTTAGAGCTGATCTCACCATTTCATTACTGTTTTGAGTGAATGACACTTCTGTCAATTTGTTTCAAGCAAGCCTGCAGAAAAGACAGGAGAGGGGAAAGGAGGTGAACGGCATGATGTGAAGAGGAATATCTTAGATTTGGACATTCCCTTTCTGTGGCACTGAGTGCCCAGCCTGTATCCCTGTGATGGGCATATGACCTAGGGTGAAGCCTCTAGCCAAGATCTTAATCTAGTTTTCTTATTGATGAAAAARGTTGCTTGAGCTTGGCTGCCCTGGGGGCTCAGGAGGTGGTCCCTATGTCTTTAACCCAGCTCCACCTGTGCTCTGTGACAAAGGCTGTGTGTGCTCCCAGGCTGGTTCTGGATGGGGCTCTTTGGACTGGCTCACCCCCCACCCTGTCCTGATGTAAATGAAGTTTGGATTCAGGTGTCACCTGGCTTGCAGTGGGTTTGTGTACAGCCTGCTTTGCATGCAGAGAACCAAAGGTTGCAGTATTTCAGGGTTAAGCCTGCTCTGGGATTCGCTGGACGCAGGCCAGGATGCTGTGAGTAAAGCCAAGTAYTCCCCCATTGTTCCCAGAAGCTGGGCAGGGGGATGAAATGATGCAGTGCTGCATCTTCAGAGGTTAAGTGTTGAGAGCCATGTGCTGCAGAGGATCATTTCCTGCTCTGCATTGTGCTGGGAACTGAAATCTGTTTAAATTGAGATTGAAATTAGCATCCAGGAAACAGCGATTTTATGTGGCAGTTTTAGCTTTGTATTGCAGTTTTGCGTTCTGTGGTTCTTTTCCCAAGGAAAAGCTGATTCTCACATGCTGTAATAATTAAGCATTGTTGATTTGCTGTTCACTATAGCTTTCATACACGGTGGGCAGCAAGATTAACATGTGTTTGCACACAGACTGCAACTCTGTGGGGCCAGGGTGACCCTGGAACCAGATTGGTTTTTAAMTTCTGCTTTTGCTGACCGTGTTGCAAATGGCAGTGTGGAAGTCACAGGCTTGGCCATTCTGTGACACTCTCCAAGGCCCTACAGGGCAGCAGAGAGGCTACTGGGGATCCCTAAATGGCTGTGGAGTTGTTGTGTTGGGTTTCAGTACATGCCAGAAGCTCTTGCATCCTATAAATAAGAATTCAAGAGGTTGAAAGTTCGACCTTTGGCCCTCGGCTGTTGGGAGGTTTCTCCTGGTACTGTAAGCTCTGGTTGGCAACAGAAGGAGAAGTTCTTTTTAGCTGTGTCACTTGTTACACATCAGATAAAATCTGATCTTTTATCTCTTTCCTATCTAGCTCAATGCCTGGGGTTTGCCTTTCAGTCTGACTGTACCTTGTTCACAGCCTGCCAGTGTTTTGTCTTCATTTTCTTGCATGCGGGAAGAAGCTAGAGATGGCTGTCCTGGTTATGTTTGTTTTGAGTGAACATTTTACTCAGTTTACCTCTGTTTGTGATTCCTTTCAGGTATTTCATGGAGCCTTTGAGCTCTAATATCGCTGCTCTCTGCATGATCATCTGAGACCAAACGAGCCAGACACAGCCATGGGGGACTCTACAGCAAATGCCATGGATGGAGGCATGGACACACAGACTGAACTGGTGGAGAGGGTGGCAGCCATAGATGTGTCCATTGTCCCAGACAGAAGTGACCAAAATGGTGAAGACAATCCTGAAGAAAATGACACGGTCTTCTCTGATGACGTAAAGGACATCCAAAGAAACGGAGTCAGCAGCGACATGGGAATCAATGAATTTCTGCCTTCCCAACAGTCTGAAGATGCTCACTTGAGACATGGTCCCAAGAGACCTCTAACTAGACCTGGTCTATCAAGTAGGAAGTTGTCCCTTCAGGAGAGATCATCAGGAGGTTATTTGGCTTCGAGCAATGCTCCAGGTTGTGGTCCTTATGCCACAGGGCCATCACCACGGATAATGAGGAGACCAACAATAGAGTCCAATCGGGTCTCCATATCAGACTCTGAGGTAGGCATTTCTCCCCTACAGCTGAGGTGTTGGGGTAAAGTAAGCCTTTCTCAGGTGGTAATGGGAGCCTTCAGTCTTCTGGAGCAGTAGATCTAAAAGCACTTTTATTTCTAAGGGGGGAAAAAATCCCTTGAACCAGAGATCATATTAGCTTGGAATGGCTCCATCCCCCAGAGCTCTGCTGGGTGCAGCCCTGGCCCTGACCCTGACATTTGTCTCCTTTAGCCCTCACCTGCCTGGGATAGTCTTGTTAAGGGRCCATGACCTCTGTGCCATGGCAGCAGGCAGAAGGTCTTTCAGGTTGTTCAGAAAAAGGGCTGTGGCCAAATGGCTTTTGTCTTGTGTCCCTGCTGCATGGGCCCTTCAAGAATTCACCAGTCACAGCAGCTGATGGTATTTTGCTGATGGTATTTTAGGGATTTAAACTTCTGGAGATTATGTATCTGCTATTGTGTTTTGCCATAATTGAAGGCACAATTTAATTTTATAAAGAGCTTAAATGTGCTGGCTCCTGTCAGGGTTTCCCTTTGTCTTTAAAGCATTTGTAACAGCAGCGGTGACGGATGGCCGTGACCCTCCTCTCCTTCAGAGGGATGTCTGGGTGGCTGTGGCTGTCATGCAGCTGCTCTCCTGGTCCCACACCTGCCCTGGAGGAGCTGTGACATACTGTCAGTGGTCGAGTGTCTTGCTGGAAGTGGGTGATGGTTGCAGTTCCCAGTGCTGGATGTGCTATGGTGGGGAGGACAGGGAGCACAGGTGCTGTTCTGACCTCACTGCCCAGTGCYGTGACCTGGACACCTGCAGCAGTGCAGGCACCCAAATCACTGGAGTTCAGACTTCTGCCAGTGTGGGTCCAAGGGACCTGGAGCTTGACCTCTGTGTGATTTGGTGTTTCCCTCTCAAGCAGTGGGTGTTTTCCTTTTGCACCTCTGAGAGGATGCTGCTGTGCACAGCCAAATCAGCCACTGTCCTCTGGRCGAGCTGTGCAAGTCACATCAGCTGTGGGATGGGTGGTGCAGAAGGTGCACTGCAGAGACTGCAGCTTCTTTGACAGCAGCCATATGCTTTAATAAGGGAGGCAGGGAGGGAAAGGAGCCAGTTCTTGGAAGTGGGACGTGACTTGAGTGCCAGCTCTCCCATCCTGCAGTGCCGTGACTGTGCCAGGAGTGAGGCTTTTCTGAAATCTTTCAATGTATCTGCAGTCAAGTGTGACTGGCACATTCCCATCCGCAAGCAAATTCAAAGTACTCCATCCCCTTCCACAGCATCTGCATCCTGGGGAGCAAGGGTCACTGCCTGGGGGTGGAAATGCTTTGTTTGAAATGCAGATGTGGAGCTGTGTCCCTGCTCCTGCAGCAGCTCTTTACTCAGTGCTGCCTTTTTCATGGTCACTTTGATGTCACTGAGAGAGCCCTGCTGTGGTGCAGCCCAGCTGCTCAGCAGAGCTGTGCTCATTGAAAACCATTACTCATACTAATGGGGAGTGGCTGTGTAGGAGTGGGCAGGGAGCCTGAGCGAGCTGGGAGCATTCTGAGGTGGGTGYTTGCCCCCACAGAGGTGTTCTCAGGAGCTGTGCTGCTCCTCCCCAACTTATAGGGATGGTGTCTGTATCCTACAAGGAACAGCAAAAGGATTAGGAAGATGCATGCTTGGACACGGGTAGAATTTGAGGCTGGGCACTGAATCATCAGCAGTGTGTGTGAGGTGTGTGACAGCAAGGGGAGTGTGCAGCCTGCACACAGCCCCTCTCCAGCCTCCAGTGTCACYCCTGCTCCTGCCAAGTGCCTGTCAAAGGTTGCTGTGAGAGGCATTGCTGGAAAAAGTGGCTGTGGTGTTGGTGGCTGTGGAGGCAATGCCAGTTCAGATTGAGCTGTGCAGCTGAGGGGGACAGCAGGGAACTCTGAAAGAAACAGAGCACAGGTCTTTCATTCTCTGTCAGGGATTCYAAGAGTTACAGGGTCTCCTTGTTGAGGTTTTTTGTCCTATTGGGGATAAAAACAGCCTGTGATGAGAAATACAGTCGTGGTGCCCTTGGCAGCAGCTGCTGGTGGGTGTCTGTTGGTCACTCTGATTTGCAGCCCCTCAGTGAGCAGCAAGGCTGGTGGGTCACTGCCAAGATCCAGCTGACCATTCCCAGCATTGCCCTGACATTGGCAAATGGCTCTGTGGCACACTTTGTTCCAGGCAAGCTGCACATTTGTATTCCAGGCAGCACCTCTCATCCAATTAAAGCCATTTTGGAGTTGGTTTTTTCCCCTTGCTCTGGGTTTCTGGCATCCTCAGGCAGTGCCTTTCAGCAGCAGGACCATCCATTGCTCCAGCTCGTGGCCACTGCTCAGGTCAGTTSCTGTCTATGCAGAGCTGGAGATGAAGATCAGCAGCGTTCAGGYGTTATCATTGCCCACGTGCAGGCACCGTCTGTCAGAGCGGGGACGGATGGCTCAGCTGCATGTCACAATTTCCTGCAGGACCGATAGCCATCTCAGACTGAGCCTGCCTCCCTCTCCAGCAGGATGGCAGCTCAGTGTCTGGCTGTCAGTGATGCTGTACCCTGGGCTGATCTGGAAGATAATGGAGAGATGCGCTGTGCACAGACAGAGTGTGGGGATAGGGCAGAGCTGAGCGCTCTGCTGTTCGCTGATGAATTATGGAAGAACGTCGTGTTCTCTCAGACACTGCTGAGCTTTTTAATGCTGGTTTAATACTTATTCAGAGGCTGGGAGGAAAACTTCTCTTCAGGGATCAAGAGGGCCAAGAGCTGAAGGCTCCCTGTGAGGTTCAGGGAGGATTTAGGATTTATCTGGTGCCAGCAGCAGGCAGTGAATTGGGGCTGTCCTGTCTCTGGGACTGATCCCACAGACACCTGCCTTCTGAGCAGGGCTTTTGGGATTGTTATTCAGGCAGGTGGTGACTCCTGGGCTTGCAGGGCTGCAGCAGAGCTGGGGCTTGTTGTCTTRAACAAAGGCTATTCCCAGAGACACCAATTACCCAACTGCCCTTGGACAGAGAGCTGGCAGCTGCTGGTGTCTTGCAGCCACTGCTGACAAGTCTGACTCTGCAGTTTTAACTCTGCAATAGAAGTAATGTGTTCTGCTCTTCTGGCAGCACTGTTGTGTTCTTCATTAACCTGATCTGTCATTTCTCTATCSAAAATTGGGCTATAATTTTAAAAGCCTCCTGTTTGTTCCACTCCTTTCTTAGGTTATTCATGGCCTGRAAGGTTCTCTCAGTGCCGTCTTGCCTGGTAGGAATGCCTGGTGCGATTTCTGCTGCCTATCAGTGCTTTGCTCTGACAAGGGRATGACTTTGCCTTTAGCTGAGGCACAGAAGTGATTAAGCTGAAGCTATTAAGGGTGCACAAAGTTGCAGAGCTGAGGCACAGGTCCCAGAATTGAGGCTGCTGGCCCACTTTGCTGATGGGATGCTCCTGGCTCCTGCTCGGTGCTGGCAGCGAGGCAGGGAGSATTTTCCTGAGGCTGCTAAAAGCAGCTTCTGCTTTGCTGCCCAGATGATACCCTGGTGTTTTTATGGACCAGGAAAAGACTCTGAAGGTTTTTCTATGTGGGCATCTTGTCACTCTGTCTGACAGAGCTTGTCCCATCTCAAACAGCAGGTCTTGGATCTGTGAAAGGGGAGAGGTGTTGCTTGTTGGAAAGAGGCATTTGAAAGTGAAGTGCTGGTGGGTGTGGTTTTTGGGGTTGTTTTTTTTTTTGTTGTTTGTTTTTGGTTTTTTTTTTTTTTTTAATTCTGCTTAAACCAATGGTTTTAGGTAGCCAAGAAAAGTCTTACTTGGAAAGTGGCTGGGAGAAGAATAAAAGATGTCTTTTCCCAGGCTTTCTCCCAGACCTGCCAGCACAATTAATTGCTTTATAGTCTTTTCTCCAATCTCTTCCAGCTGAATTTCCTTTCCCATTCACATTTTCTTTCTCTCCCTGCATCCCCCAAACTCCCTGGCACCCCAGTTCCCCTTGCTCTGGTGTCCACAGAGTCTCTCCTCCCTCTGGGATCAGTAGGAGGCTGTTCCAGTTGCCCCTGCCTGCGTGTCCCTGGTCATGGTGATCAGCTGGAGCCGGGTGTGCTTGGAGGGGATGAGTCACAGCAGTGCCTTCTCTCTCCTCAGGAGATGCAGGGAGGAGAATGAGCTGACAAAGGGAATTTTCCTATGCTGGATGTCCATGGCTTACTCCAGAGGCATGGAAAATAAATCACTTATTTGTCCTTTCTTTCCTTGGCTTTCCTCATCTTTATCATAGTCCCCTGCTTGTTTGCCCAACTGGTTTGAAGCAACAGGCATCCAGAGCTGAGGGGCAGTGTCTTGGTCCAGGTCTCACACTCCTCCAGGGACTGGAAGATGCCTGGTTTTCTTCATAAAGTGATGTCTTGCTGTTCACAAAGGTAAACTCAGGTGGGACCAGGGCAGAGGCAGGAACTGARCTCCTACTCAGTACAGCTGACAGCTTCTCCTTCCAGCCCCACGAGCCCCCCAGATGAATTTCTTCCAGAGGTCTTGCTGTGGTGCTCAAACTGGAGGTCTTGAAAAGATTAAAGATACTTGAAAATATTTCTTCAAAGAAGACTCCCCCACAGGCATTGCTAATTTCTTTTCCTTTTATTAATTAACTTTTAAATAAAGTTGCATTTCCAGCTTCTCTGAGGGTAAGGTTTGAGAGAAGGAGAAAGCCCAAAGCTGCTGTTGGAGAAGGGCTGGAAAGGGCTTGCCTTGGTCCCACAGGTCCCAATCCCATTTTTAGCCACTCTCTCAGTGATATCCCAGGGACCCAGCAGATGCCCAGGCTCCTGAGAAGATCTGGGGTTCTAGGTGGGTGAGTCCCAGTGCTGATCCCATGGCTGTGCTCTCTGCCCAGCCATGGACAGTGCACTGCAGCAGGGTTGAGCTTTCCTTTTGCACTTCCTTTTGGATGTTGCTTAAAAATCTGTTTATTTTTCTTACCACTGTGAGGTCTAGGCTTCCTGTCTGTCCTTCTCTGTCCCTGAGCAACTTTCTAATTTAAATTCATTGCTGCCCCTAATACCCATTTTCTGGCATTTAGTTTCATTTTGTCTGTTTTCAGAACTGCCTTCAYTTCCCCTTCTAGGCAGGATGAGTTTCAACCAGTGTTTCCTCATTTTTCTTCCATGCCTCTCTTTAAAGTGTATCTCTAAATTGCTGAAAATTCTTTTCAGATTGGGAAATTTGGCCTCTTTTAGGGGGCAAAATTTTCCTTTATGTATGTATGTATGTATATATGTATGTATGTATGTATGTATGTATGTATGTATGTAGGCAGTCTGATTGTTTTCAGAATTGTCTTCTCTTGGAAATCAGCTCTGGTTCTCCCTTCCCATCCATGCATCTCCTATGGGACAGCAAAGGCTCAATTCTCATTTTCTTGGGGTTTCTGTCACCCAGTGGTGGCCACGGTGGATTTCTGGAACTGATTCTCTGGACTGCACTGTGCTTTATGATTTTTGACCAATTTTTGTCTTCTGTGGCATTGATCCCCCCTTCCTCTCTTGACTAATACCTTGGACATGTTAACAAAGGGGGCATCTTGTTTTTTAAAACGAAAACAATTACTGCACACTTGGACTGGCTCAGTCTAATTTGGTGACAGCTTTTCATTAAATGATCTCGTTAAGGTTCTTGCTCTATTTGTATTTATCAGCAGTTGCAAATATATTGGTGTGATGAAATCAAGAGAATTGTACAATGTTATCTCAAAGAAGCACTTGGCCCAGAGATTGGTGCTTTTCTCTGATAAAGGAATAGTACAATTATCCCACTTCCTGCAGGAGAACCAAATAACAGCCCTGCCAGTCTGCAGCAACACGTGGCAGGAGTYGCTTCAGCTGTGAATTATGATCTTTTCAGCAAGGGGGAAAAAGTAGAGAGCTCCTATAATCTGATTTGATTTTTGCTGTGTTTAGCTCAGGTGTGGGAAGCAGGGCAGGAGCTGAGGTGATSGTGCTTCCAACCAGGAATTACCTGAGTGGGGAGCCCTGGGGGTGTGGGGCAGGCAGGGATGAGGTGACAACGAGTGTGAACTCTGGGAGACTGTGCTGTACATCCAGCCTGTCCTTTGGACACTCTCTGGGTGTTCCCATCCCATGTTTGTCCACCCCTTTCAAAGAACTGTCCCTACAGATGGGGGTTATGCTGTCACAGGCTCCACCTGACAGCAGTGAAACACCAGGGAGATGTTTCAGGTGATCAGTCTGGTGGGAGATAGAGTGGTAATTTCTGGCCAGAGTGAGAGGGGTGGTGGGAAGGGGATGGTCAGAGTCAAAGGAATGGTGGCTTGGACATGG